CTCTACTTAAAGAAAAAAAAGAATCTAGATTAATTAAAGTAAATTTCAAATAATTTTAATCATGTCGAATGAAATAACCCATAAAAATTTGAAGGTAGAGCTCATGATAGACACCCAAATTCGATATTTATGTTAAAAGAATGATATTTCTATTAAGAAATAAAAATTAAAAATGAAATCTAGAAAATGTTCATTAGAGACTTTTTCTATTAATTGTTACCATCTATATGTTTTGAATAAAATAAACAAATCTTATTGTTAATTTTTAGAATGAACCTTCAAATAAAAAATCACAATTTGAAATAATTTTTTAAATTTAAAGATTGAATTATTTAAAAAAATTCACAACTAAATTCTAAAATAACAAGTAATTCATGAACTAAACAATTATAAAAATGAATGGGATTTTCTACTAAACAAACATTTAATTTGAAAAAAATATATACTATACTAAAAATTGTATTTCTAAATAAAATATATATTTTTTAATTTTTGAAATAATTTTTTTTTTTATATTTAGGTGGAAAATAAGGAATTTAATAAAATATAATTTGATTAAATCTTAATTTCACGTGAATCGTCCAAATAAGACGGCCGGTAATATACAAATGACGGACCAACGCCTCCATGAATTTTTTGGCCGCTAAAATAATAAAAACTATTAAACAAGCAAACGAGTCACCGAATCCGACCAACCAAACAGTACTTCGACACTCAAACGAAAATCAATTTCCATGGGATTGACTCGTAAACAGAGTAAAACACCATAACCAAATCTTCTTCCTCTTTCTTCGTACCTTTCCCCCTCCTTCTTCGTATTGACGCCGAAACCGATGCAGTTTTGGCCTTACCACTTTTAATCTGCTTGTCATTGAACATGGTATTATATATATATATATATATGCGTAGTTACTCTTTATTAATTTGTTTTTACAATGTTTACTGATTTGTTTCTTTGCCTTTTGTCCTACCCAAGTGGAAAGTTGTATAGGAGGGAGATTGGAGAAGCGGAAAGCTCCATGGTGAGTGGAATCCTGGGGTTTGACCAAGATTTTAAGGTGACCCAGGTGAGCAAATCTTTCAAAAACGTATCTATTGTTTGTTTTGTTTTCCTAATTATTTTTTTAATAAATTTGTTTCTTTGTTTTGCTCCAAAGCAATCTCCTCTTGGATATACTTGAATGTTATGCTTTGGTGTATGTTAGGTAGAGTCAGGAGTCTCTTTC